ATTATTATTATCATTGCTATTATTTTCTTGATGAACTATTACACTTATTTTTTGTACGTAAATTTTAATAATCAATTATATATTCGATCGCAGTTGTGTAAGAAAAAAAATCCATTAGGTACTTACACGTTTTGAGTAGATTTTTGAGCGACAACGCTTGATCGTTAAAAATTCGCCGATCGATTAAAAAAAAAAAAAAGAAAACAGATTCGTATTAATATTGGCATTAGCGTATAAAGTGACACATAACGAAATTGCTCCACCCACAAATAGGCTGGTAACGCAGAGATGCACGGGCACAAAGCGGTCCTGGCAGCGGCGTCCCCGTACCTGTTCGAGCTCTTCACCAACGGCGAAAATCAACTCAAGGACCAAGCTCCCACCTTCGTCCTCAGCGGTAGCATCGATAAAAAAGCTCTGCAAAAACTCATCGATTACGCCTACACGTCCAGGTATACATTACATTTATATTAATATTATTATGTATTAAAGATTACTTTTTACAACGTGTGTGACGCGATGAAGGACTTGAAAAGTTCTTTTAATTATTCATTATTCATTGATAATACAATTGTGAAGAAAAAAAATTACATGATGAAATTGTTTAAGTAAAAAAATGAGCAAAATTTCGTTCTCTAATTGATTAAAAAAGTATTGTCAATAACGCGCCAAATGGGTCTAACACAACTTGACTATGGTATTGTTGAAAAAATATCGATGTTCGCTCTTGCAATGAACATGTATCGGTAGCGTCCCTTTTTTTTACATGCACACATGTGAAACCAACAACGGCTACTTATCGTTTGGAGATAATCTTGACTAGACCTTGACTCAGAGGTGGATTATTGCATCGTTTGTATCAGTGTTGGTGATAATATTGTGGTTTTCCATTAGAAATCCAATAGATATAATGGAACGAGCGCTCATAGCCTTTGCAGCTTTTATCGAAGATTCACATCATGTGTATTATATACCTCTATTTTACATTGGGTATAACAACCAGCGTATTATTACATGAGATACTTTTGTCATGATGCAACTTATTGAAGATCGAAAGTTTGGAATTAAAAATAAAATGTGTCCTTAAACTGGAGTATATTTAACGACGAGAAAGAACACGAGAGGTCGCATCGAATAGTCGCCTCCATTCATAGACTATGTATTATTATCTTCCGGAAACAACATTATGACGGTTTATTTAAAAACTTGAAAAGTTCGATGCAAGAAATTTCACACATTTTTTTGTGAAAACTTAATTCTTTTGATAAAACCGTACTTTAATCCAATTGAAAAAAAAGGCTGCATTAAACACACGACGACAAAATCACGTTTTTCGCAAACGGAAAATTTAAAAAAATACTCTCTCGGTCCCTTGAACTGCAGTGTATCATTATTAACATTGACACTGAACTTCAACTTGATATCCCGAAATATGTACCAATTTAAAGCAATTACGAAGACAAGAAACAACTTTTGCGTTCGCATTCTAATTGCGAAGTACACGCTAAAAAGCATAATAATAAACGTAGTCAACGTGGTCATTGTATTTGCCTGTGTGCTTGCACCCAATAAGAGCGCAAAATCGATCGGGCATTGATTTAACAATGTTATTCTGACACTGTTGGGTGTACATATATTTTTGAAGGTCACTCGACGATACACGAGTTTCCTCAAACATGAATGCGACCCACGTTAACAAGGGGGGGGGGACCAAACGATTTTCTTTTTTTTTAATCGTCCTCTAACTTTTTATACGTAATTACTTGTATAACGAATATCACAATCGTGTTCCTACTATACATACATTTATTTTGGTAGATTGGAAATATGTCCCTTGGAGGTGAAGTCCATCTACCAGGCAGCGACTTATCTGAAAATGGAGCGGGTGGCTTCGCAGTGCGTCACCTACCTGCTGGACTCGCTGACCCCCGAGTTTTGTCTGGACATTCGAGCTCTGCCCGGCATCATCCACAACGAGAACTTTGTCAGACAAGTCGACTCTTACATCCGGCATAACGTAAGTCGCCTTTGCGGTGTCTCTCTCCTTGCATGTAATACAAGAGATACATAGACTGACCCAGAGTATATGGATAAATAAGCTTATACTATATACGTGTCGTGCAGTTCGAGGCGGTATGCGCGAGCCCGGCCCTCTCCATTCTGCCGAGCGTCAAAATCGAGATCCTCTACCAGACGTCCCTGGAAATGAGCCTAGTGAACGGCTCGAGTCTATGTTGTCTGGTGCTCGACTGGATCAAGCGTTTCGTGGCCGACGTCGACGAGGAGAAGCCCTGCGTGGTCGAGCAGCTCTTCGAAAAGACCTTTTTGTTGTACCTCGCGCTCGACAATAGTCTCCAGGATTGCACGGATCTGCCGACAGGCGACGTCAGTGACACCGACATTGTTCAGGATTACAAAAAACTGTCGCTCAAGAGCCAAGTTCAGCACAACAAGGCCAGAAGGAAGGGCATATTGCAGCCGGCCAAGCCGAGGGTGCTCATTTACAACCAGAGCCCGGAGGAGGCCAGCGCCGAGGAGAACAAGCAGCTCGAGCCCGACTGGAATATGATTGGCGTCAACAAAGTCGGAGGTCTTTCATTTGCTTCTCATTTCATCTTCTTCTTATTTTTCTCTTGCTTGCTTGCTCGCCCAATTATCACTTCTTCTGGGGACGAGCATAGCACTAGGGGGAAAGAATAACGATCGATCGATATCGTCTCCTCGTGAATTTCAGAGCACACGTTCCTAGCCATTGTGACTCTGAACGGCCGATTGGCTAAGCTGTCGGTAGCTCTGCGCTTGAACACCCCGGCGCCACTGGTGAGCCAAGAAAACGGCAGCCGGCTGCCGGAAGACCAGCGCAGCTCGAGCAGCGAGCCCGATCTCTACTGCGCCCTGCCCACCATGAAGGCCGGCAAGTGCTCTGTTGGTTGTGCCGAGCTAAACGGTGCCCTGCTCGTATGCGGTGGATACGACCGCGTCGAGTGTCTCAAGAGCGTCGACAAGTACATACCCGAGACCAATACCTGGGAGGTGTTGAGCGCGATGCGCGAAGCCAGGGGTAGATTCGGCATTGCCGTAGTCAATGGCAAGGTATACGCGATCGGAGGCTCGAATGGCTCGACGGAGCTTGCCACGGTCGAGGTACTCGAGCCAGGAAACAACAAGTGGAAGACTATTGCGAGCTTGCCCCTGGCGAGGTCGAATTCCGGGGTTTGCGCGCTTGGCTCCAAGATTTACTGCATTGGTGGCTGGAATGGACAGGTGAGTACTTTTTTTTTTTTTTCTTTTTCTTTGCCGATAATTCGAGCCGTTTTAGTAGAGCTTCGTCGAGTCTGTAATCTCATTTTCCTGATCCAAATCCGATTTCGCAATGCTGGAAAAGTCAAAATAATTACACAAACTCTATGCACATACTTTGAGAAAACAGATTTGTTTCCAAGAGTCAAGTATGGTTTTAAAAAATATGTATGTTAATTCTGATCAATAGGCCGGAATAAAGCAATGCGACAGCTTGGATCCAACGACGGGCATCTGGTCGAGTGTCGAGCCACTGAAAATCGGCCGCTACCAAGCTGGTGTGTGTGCCTATGACAACAAAGTCTATGCCGTGGGTGGCTGTGACTCGTGGAACTGCCTGAACTCGGTCGAGATCTACGACCCAGAGACCAACAGTTGGAGCTTTGGACCGGGCCTTATAACAGCACGTCGGGGCTGCGGTCTGGCTGTCTTTCATGGCCGACTCTATGCAGTCGGTGGTTATACGGGAACTCACAGTTTGACCAGCACCGAAGTTTACGACCCTGCCGAGCAGGTCTGGGTGCCTGGGCCCAACATGTGCATGCCCAGGGCTAATGTTGCCGTCGCCGTCGTTGGTGATAGGTAAGTCAATGAGGGAGAAGCAAATATCATCAAAATGAAATTCACGAATACGTGATGATTTTCCTTTTATTCGTCTGCAGATTGTACGCGGTCGGAGGTTTTTCCGGGAAAAAATTCTTGAATTCGATGGAGTATCTCGATGTTCATACCAACGAGTGGACGACGTTCATCCCAAAGACCGACGGCATCAAAACGCCCCCGAACCCTGAAATAAACAACGGCTCAGACTCTGTTAGTACCAACGGCAATGAAAAAGATCCCCAGCCTAACAACGTCAGTCGGCAGTCAAGCCAATTTGATTCCAAAATGGAATGAGATATTATTTTTTATTCGCTAAATTAAATTATGTTTCTTTTATAAGCTTCCGTTGCCCCTCTATCCCTGCATCTCCCTTGTGTGTATATTCCTTTCGACGCGAGAATATCCGGAGCCCTGATTTTTATTTCTTTTTATTCTACTCCTCTTGTTGATCGTATGATTTTAAGCACTGGAAGAGATAAGTACAATTTCAATATGAGAATAAATATGTATGATATGCGTATCATCAATGGCTTTGGATGAGAATGGGATGAAGTACTGCGACGTTTGAGCAAGACGAGCCCGTGTCTCTAATATGTTATTGTCTTTACAATGATGTATATTTTTCTCCATTATAACATACATACCGACTAATTCTACGCTATCCTTGATACTTCTGCTGTGTATAAACGTGTATTTTGACGATTTTTTTTTTTCCAACATTTGAAAAACTTGGAAACATTTTTTTCAACAAAGACTGAACAATTGAATAATGACACTGTTGGTCTATAGTTTCTCGTATAAAAATTAAAAAATAAATTTTTATCAATAAAATCAGAGCATTAACATGTGAAAATAATAAGTTTATTAATATGCATAAACATATTTATGTAAAAAACGGTATTTTCTACCTGACATTCATGAAAATTAAAATTAATTTGAAACTTAATCGAAGTAAAAGAGTTACATCCTTCTATTTAATGTAACTTGTATAAGTTGTCGCGCATGTTTGGAATTTTTACGATTTTTAAATTATACTAGCACTTTAATCAGCTTATAAAATTTTTCTTCGACATGTACCAAGTACATATGTCAAAGAATATTCTTAATACTTACCTATCTAAAACATTTTATAAACATTTTTATTTCTTGATCATTCCAATCACGTGTAACTAAAATTTTGTAAAAACAGTATTGGCACAAAACTTGAATTCGTGTTTCCAGTCTATACTTTGTTTTTCTAAATATGGAAAATAATTTGTATGCAGGTACGAAAAACTGATAAATTGGTAAAACATAAAAAACAACGACATACAGTGCTGGACATTCTCGTAAAATTCATGATTAGCCTGAAAAAATAAGTTCAAACAATCTTTTTGTGACAAGCATTTTATTTATAAACACACGATTGATACGACTTTTAAGTTTTAAATGAATACTTACATGCATTTTTACTTCTACTAAAGAGCGACACACTGCCATCAAAATGAAAAAAAAAAAAAAAATAAATAAAAATATTAAGACCATTTGTTCCTAAACTAAACAGTGGAAAAGAACTAAAGTTTACAACAAAAATCATCACGAAGAATAATATTCTGAAGATGACGTCTTTGGTGATTTTAATAAGCTCGACATTGGGTCCAACAAATATCAATTTCCAATTGTACGTTTTACATATTAAAGATCTTGCAAACAGCTCTATGCATGATTTATTTATAATGATGAAAACATTGATTTTACAAATGAAAGTGCAGAAAGTATCAAGGTTGCTACATAGATATATTATTTATAAAAGAAAATGTAACGATGATGATGGTAGTGATAATCACCATGTCACCACCGAAATGTTATGCTTAAATATTGACAAGTTATTTGAAAATATACTAGTGATTTTTTGAGAATACACCTGAAAGTATTTGAATTGATAAATGAGTTCATGAATGATTTTGACGGAAAAAAGTAAGTGATAAAAAACACACAAATCTATAATTGTAAATGTTCGTATTTTTCATCACTTACGGGGTTGATCTTAATTGGAGTTGTATAAAGTTGTGACGTGATGCAAGAAAAATGAACAAGATCAAAAGTTATATGATGGGTTGATTAAATTGTAAACAAAGTATACTAAAGTTGCGCCATTTTGCTCGTAAGATTTGAAAGACAGTATGTAAAGTGGGGTGTGTATGTAAAACCTGTTTTTGTAAAAATAATCTCGTAATGAGAAAAAAAATAATTCATCAGAGAATCTGCATAATAAAAATATAACTGTTAAAATATGCTTGTTGAAAATTTTAAGTCATTGATTTGCCTTAAAAAACTGGAAGATTGAAACACACTGTAAAATTGTTTCTTGGTATATTTTATTCACATAGTTGGTATGAATTCTTATTACAGAATAACAAACTATAAATATATATATGTATTTATGTAGGGCATGTATAAAAAAACGTTTTAATATTGTAAAACTGATTCCCAATTAGAGTACATTCTAACCAAATAGAGAACAGTGCTATTCTAGAAACAATTTTTTTTCTCTTAAGTATAATTAAATTCATCTTTCAAAACAACATTATAAACTGTTTCAAAAAAATAAGGTTTTGTCTAGACCAAGACTTAATAACTATGAATGCAAATATTTTCTTCGTTTTTAAAAAAAAGTATACATATAAATGGAAAATAAAAGAGCTTTTATATTTCTTTGTTGAGAAGCATCTTGTCGAACAAGAATTCTCCAAGGCCTTTTTGAGATACCATCATCTTGCCAAGAGTCGAAAGTTTTCCTGCTAGGTCTCGTTGTCCTTCGTACTGCTCGGTCAGGAAATCTCCGGTCAAATAGTCCACCACCTAAAATAAAAAATGTAATTTTGCAAATGTAGAGTCAATTATGTTGAAAGGGGCTCTCCATTAAAAGGCTCAAAGACGGGTATAAAATTTTTGGAAAATACTCACGTGATAATCATTGAATTCGTTGTCCTCGCAAGTTTTGATAATGTCCCGGATTCTCGTGGTGACTTCATGCTCGAGATTAAGGGCGTCGGTAAGGGCCTCCTCGCCAGTGTTCCACTTCTGTCGTGGTACTCGGGGAACCGAGCTCAACAACTTACTTACATCATTAGTGAGCTCACCACGCATTAAAAGGTACTCCATTATCTTGATACTGTGCTCACGTTCCTCGCTTGCACTTTTGATGAAGAACTCGCTGAATCCTGGACGATTGAGTGTGTCGGTAGCAAAATTAGCACCCTGAAAATAAGTGAGATTTCAGTTAATAATTGTCGATCAAATTTTTTCAATTTTTAGTATTATGCTACTAAAAAATTAATTTGTACTTTATAATTTTTTAAGTAGCATGTAAACATATTTTGATAAATTTGCGATTACATCAAACAAAGCATCAACAAATAAGGTACGTTATATCATAATTTTGTATATTTACTCATGTGACATTTAGACTTACAATTATAATTTTAATTAACTAAAATAGTTCTACCACTTACCATGGCAAGATACGTCATTGCAGCAGTAACTTCAGTGACAACTTGTTCTCTAAGTTTTTTGATGCAAGGGGGTACCATAGTCTTCCATTTCTGTGGAAAATTATCACTACCTGATGCAATGGTACCTGAAATACAATTTATTCCTCGTGAGTAACATTTTATTTGTGTTTCGTGGTATTTATTTTATATTCAACAATTAAATTATAGACTTTAGCAACAAAAAATATATGCACTCATCTGTAATCAAAGTAAGTATTATCAAACATTTGTGATTGGTCAGTAAGAAATAATAAAATGCTAGGGTGTCTTATTTCTGCACTTGAAGCAGTAGTTATCGTTTGAAAATTTATCAAAACCTGATGTCTAAACTCAATTTAAAAGGATATTAAAAACTTTTAGTATGCTTTTTTAGATGATTAACTTTATTGGTTTTTCATGGCTACTGGCACTAATGATCTTATCAAAGCTAGATAATGTTCATTTAAAGTGCTTTTAACAGCAAAACTGTTAAATAAAAAAAAATTTTGCTTTACAAGATAAATTTGTTTATCATGTATGAGCAATGCAAAAGACAATTTCAAAATATATCTATGAAACTTTGAAACGCAATATTTTCTATGTTTATTGTATCTTGTGAGATATACATTTTTGCACTACTTTAAAAATGATTGTATTTCTTGTAGTGATGACTAGGCTAATCGATTCTTTGTTCAATTTCACATGAAAATGAGTAGTAATACTATATTCAGTTAGTGGCATTTAACTAATCAGAGGCATTTTAAAAGCATTTCATAAAAAATTGCATTGACTAGAGGTTTAAAGTTTTGAATCACCAAGTGTCCATAAATGGAAAGTTTTTGTTCCTTATCAAGAAACAGATTATAAGGATTATAATCATTATATTTGTATAGAGATATCAAACAAATTCAACTTTTTAATACCCCAGCTTGGCCACTTTTAATAATTATACTAGTGCTTATTTCACAGTTGAAAATAAAATTGTTATTGCACCAGTGTTAACTTATGTTGCAAAATACATGCTAGTGACACTTTGCTAGACGTAAATGATAACTATAACGATGAGATCATTTCATTGCTCTTTGCTTTCGCTATGAAATTCTGAGTAAATATAATATAGTTCCGTGCAACAAGTATAATAGAACATGTAAAAATTAAAACGAGTTTATAAAGGAAATTGTGATTGCAACACTAAGAGAGATGACGTTTATTTACAAGTGACGCATCAGTACCATCCTACTCTATATCAACGGAAGCTTTGGACAAAGAAAGCTTTTTCCTACAGTGTGGGATAATGAAAAATATGTGGAGAAAAAAAAGATGCGCGAGAAAGAGCTGGTAGTGGGACCCACTACTTGAACAGCAGCTAAGTAAGCAATGATCTTTAAACTCAATTGATATAATTGCTAGAATCATTACACTAGCTTGCATAATATTCTTATCTACATTCAACAAAGTAATGCCACATTCTCAAGATTCAAAGACACACGTGTAAACAAGCATTCAAGGCACATATATCCAAGGTCAGTTGAATGGAAAGACTCTTGGTACAGGCGTACTGAATGTATTGTTTATTGCACAAAATCGATAATTTTTTGGTGATTATTAATACAAGGTATACCAGATTAGTCAAAGTAAAAATTGTACTCACACTTGAGGTTCTCATCAGCACTGCTGACTCCCAGAAGGAGACAGCCGATGGTTAAAGTAATCAAAACCTTGATCATGATGCTGGATCCTGAGCGCTTGTAAGGACAAGTAAGTATTTCAGGGTTCGTCGTAGTTGGCGACGTCTGGGAGGAAAAAAAAAAAATCAGTCAAACGAGTGGGCCCCCGAGGAGAACGATTGGTTACAAATACAGTAAGTATTTAACGATAACAATGCGGGGCTCGCGAGATATACGTGATAGATAGTAAGTACCTTGTGTTAGAGTAACGAAGCCGGGGTAACCTTTATACACACTGGCATAGAAGGCTAGCCTCCTCTACCTCAACTCGACAGCGTACGCTGTTCTGTTAAACCGAGAATGAGAATGCGTTTTTAACGCGACGTCGACTATACGTCGTCGTCGTCTTCGTCGTTGTTGTGAAGCTTGCCTAACAACGAATAAGCACACCACTGAACAATGTGTGCTTATCTGTTCGTTTTTCTTTTTCCTTCTATCAGAGCCCAGCACAATTATGACTCGTTGGCCATTGGTCGTTCGAATGCGAGGAAAGGAGAAAAACTCTCAGCGAGGAACACGACTTGACTGTTTTGTTATTGGCGGAAAACAACCTATATGCATGCAATAATATGCAATAAAATGAAATGCAGCAGACGAAGAGATAGTGGCTGATGGCGGGGTGGGGGGGGAGGAGAGGGGTCAACTATATGGGAAAATGTATTCTGCTGCAGAGATGCGGTGTTGCCAAATGTATTTTTCCGGATAAAAGAGACGCGTTTGAATGCGATGGGTGTAAGTGCGTAGATCGGAGAGTGATACATATTTATACTTATGTATGTGATATAGATCGGCTATTCATAAAAGTAAACTTGTTATGGGCGTTGAAAAGAAAAAGAATACAAAGTGAAAAAGCTTATATTGTGCTGAATTTATTTAGAACAAAAAACCGATACCAATATTGTTCTTAACTTCTTATAACAAGTTTAAACGACTCGCGTTACTATAAACTGCCGTATTCTTCTTTTGCGTATTTAAGCTACTATACGTTGTTGAGACATGATAAATTAAAATTTTTATCGTATTGGGATTGTATGTTAATTTGTGAATAGATTCACGCATATTACACACCATATATAGTAATTCTCAACATAATTGAAGCACAGAAAAAAAAACGAGAATCTAAATTAAAGAGTACATTTATTAAGAAGAAAATAATAAAAATAAAGTATTTATACATCAATAAAAACTATCAAAGAAGTAAAGTATAAACGTAATCCATACCGCGACATTTAATAATAATTGATTGCATGATTTTTTGTTGTATTTAACGCATGATGAAATATGAAGCAATTTTGCGTTACAACTCATAAGTATATATATATATAAGATGCAACGAGCATTTCGTTACTTACGATGACATCATATCTCGTCCGTTACGATTCATATATATTATACGCTCTTAAAGTACCTACGTATAATATGCAAGTAAACGTCTATTAATCATTCGTTTCAAATGAAAGGCTTACTCATGTGCATCTACGTAATTTTTTTTCTTTTTTTATTTCTGAGCGCAAAATAAAAACGACACCGCATACATTAATACATTGATAATTAATATTACTCAGATCTAATTTTTAAAAAACGTAATTTTCGATAAATTGTGAGATTTTGTTATGTTAACGCCAGTTAATTAAATGTATAAGTGTTACTTATGTAAAGATCGAATAATTGAAGAATTTTTTTTTCCCATTCGAATTATCATTTTCTTAAAATGTTGTTAATAAAATCATTAAAATGAGATTATAATCATCAAAATAATTTTTGAAATACATTTTATTTAATTTCGTTTGTATAAATTTTTCGTTAATTTTTTTCACACCTTTAGGTGCGGATAAATAGGTAAATGTGCAAAAAAAATGTGCGACCTAAAAAATGAAAAGAAATTTTCCTCTAAAATCCAAATGAAAATAAAAAAATAATACGAACAAAGTAGAACTTTGTAGAGCACTAGAAATACTTGAAATCAAAATAAATACGTATAGAATATAATAAGTATGCGATCAAGTTCTAGAACGGGGCGTGTAAAATTTTTCGGAAGCCATTTATGATCAAATCGGTTTGGACGCTTGAATTTTATTGTAGATGTAACAAAAGTAGCTCATACATCATCCAAGAGTTAATCAACCTCGTTTGACCGCGTATTTTACCAGTTTCACCCACATCTGATTTTACACATCAAAAATGCTCATCGATTTCGATTTCACGTGTACTTAGTCCTCTTGTCGCGATCGAAGATCTGTAAAATTTTATCGCTCGGACATGTTTTTTGTCACGTTGTTGTTTGTACCTTCGTGCGGCCAAGCAGGTAGCAGATAACTCGAGATAAATATTTTAAACGCGGACTAACGATAAAACCAAAGGTATATGTCTTTAGTTTGAGTTAACGAAATAATATTTAATACATTTTTGACGTTAGTAATCAATACATACAATGCATTGCCATTCCTATTTCCGCTTTCATTTTCTACAGTTTGCCGAACAGATAAAGTAAAAAACCCTTTTTTTTTTTTTTTTTTTACTACACGTGGACATTTTTGTAATATATCGAACAAGGAATGTTTTAGCTCGATTAAATATTCAAGTACAGTAATTTACACCTGAACGTCTTTTTGTTGTATTGGTTACAAAAAATGTACGATAATTTATAGTAATCGATATTACTGAATTTCAGCACGTAAATATATATGTACTTATGAAATACATTGAGAAAGTTTTTTAAAAGTTAGGCAAAAACAAAGATTTAACAAAAGTATTGTGGACAAAATACAGTTTATGCACTCACGAGAGCTCGGAAATTATAAAAACAAATATTTCTGATACGCTACATAAGTATGTTCAGCAAATTCATTGATATAAATTTTGTTGTAAATTCTGTGGTTTTCAAAAATATTTTAATTACTGCGCACTAGCATTTGCACTGTTTTTCAAGATAGAATAATTATTGCGCAAAGAACACTTACTTTGAATCGATTGCAAGGGTAGATTTTTTTTTTTATCATCTAAAATCACGAAAGCGATGAAATCAACAAACGTACGGGAGTATATTTTTTCTTACATCCATTCGATAAGATAACTTTTCTAAATAAAAAGTAAGTGTATATTTCTCACGAAATGATAGCAAATAAAAGTATTCTTGAGTTCGAAAAACCATGAAAAATCATTATATTGTACTCTATTCGCAGTGGGTTTTTCCAAACAAGTCACGTCATATATTATAAGATAGCGGATAAACACGTTTCCCCCCCCCCCCCAAACAAGCCCAAGTTCAAAGTCCATTCGAAAAATTCCAAAAAAAGGAGAAAAGTGGATGCACGCACAGTATATCACTCTCACTGATAATTGCTATTTGAAAAATAAGAAACATGGCAACACTGTAAACACTGTTCGCTCTCTTTCCGTCTCTTTCCGACAAGGATGCGCATGCGCGTTTTCGCTGCAATGTTGGACGTATATATGTATATACAACGTGTATACATCCATATATTTGATGTACACATGTACACTCATCAGTGTTGTACAGTACACACCCTCCTTTCCCTGATCCCTCCGCCCCCCGACACACGACTTGACAGTCGGATTGGAGCAAAAGTTGCCAAGTTAGCTCATTGTTTAGCACAGCGTCGAAGCGAGAGTATTCACGCTTTGTTGCTAGACACCCCGCAGCCGTTTTCTTCTTCAACATTTATTGTTTCAAGAGGATAAATATCACTCGCATCTCAAGCTCAAAGCAAGTATCTTCTTTTTTTTATTGTTATACGTGTGTAAAGTACAATTGGTACGTTAAGTGTAAGTGAATTTGAGGTTCGGTACGGTTGGCACGTCGCAATTGTTGGCTGCGATTCGCTTATCGCGTCATTCGCTTTCATTCGAGCCCGAGGCGCGATGATAACTTGTTCCCCTGGCACAGCGATAAGAAGACGAGTTGGAAAAAAAAAAAAAATTCTTACGATATATACGTAACACGCGCAGTTACTTTGTTCACGAGCCTTCTACCTATATATACATTTACATGGACGGTCCCGAGTGATTGCCGATGAAAGCGTGATACGTCCAGAGCTGTTGTCTTTGAGATCGGAGTGACCATATTTTTTTTTAATTTCTTTTGACCGATTCCTGAGTTGTCATTTTAATTTTTTTTTTTTAACCTCGGGTTTTTGTACATTAGACAAAAATAAGTGAGTATTGCATGTGCACTTGTAAGTTCTTTGCCTTGTCTTTTTTGTTCGTTCTTGCACTATGATCATGGTTCAAACAATCATTTGTAGTTGCATCATTGAAAACTGATAACTTGATATGGCCTTGTCCGTTTGAGTGTTGATTATTCATTTTTCTTCAACTTGATCAAATTTGAACGGTTACTGTATGCTTGTGTTGAGGAAAATATTGTTTGATACTGATACTCATTCAAACCAAGCAAGCACAATGTGACATGTGTCTTAAACTGTTTGCTTACTTCCAAGAATTGATCATGGATCGTTTATAGTTGCTTTACCAGTGGTTGTCTCATTGAAATTATCTGAGTGTTGGTATCTTTGTTCCATAAATTGAGTCATGAAAATCGCACTGTCATGTCCACATTTGTTGTAGTTATTAGATTGGCTATATTATGGATAAACTGCACAAAAAAATATTTCTTGCAATTTATTAATTGATTTGGACGTTAATTAAGTTAAAGTGACTTTGACAACTAACATTTATTTCTACATGATTGTATTAAACGTTTTTGTAAACGATGTAAAAGTTTTATATTGATAACGTTAGATTATTCAAGCTGATACACTTTAGTTTTATAATAGACCATACTGTAAAGACAATTTAACAAATTAATAGTAATTGCTTGAATGTTAAGAAAAAATTTTTTTAATGAGAAACTAATTGTAATTTCAACTTTATCTTTTCCAGTTATCATCATGATGAAAATGTTACTTCTGGGAATCATTTGCACCCTGTTAGCTACGACTTCAGCGGAGTTTTGCTACAGTGACGTTGAAGGTGCTTGTAACCCCCCAAAGGGTCAAACATCCCAAACATCAACTTTGATAAGTAAGGATCCTATTTTGAAAAATGTTCATACTAACCATTTCTATGTAAAGTTGTGCTTACAAATTTGTAACTTAACTAAAAACTTTCAGATGAAGCATCTCGATCTGACTGTAATGCTACCTATGGTTCTATGGATCAACTTATTGTTGATCTCCAGACGTATGCTAATCATCACATTCATATCAGCTTTCAATTTTTGTTGATGTCAACATACTTTGGCAATTATGAGGCCAACCGTGACGGATTCAAAGCTCTTTACAGAAAATTGTCAGACGATGCCTGGGAAAAGGGTATTGATATCATCAAATACATCACTAAGAGAGGTGGCACAATGAACTTTAATGAGATGCCACACACCAATCTTGGTGTAAGTTTTAATTTCATTACTTTTTAAATTATACCAAAAATAATTGAATATTTGATTTGGAAATGTATATTTGGGTGCTGATTTATTTTTTTAGCCAAAAGGAATGCACGTTGTTGAGCAAAACGAGATTCACAGCCTGGCTAAAGCTCTTGATTTCGAGAAATTTTTGGCCAACGAGGGTTTGCGCATTCACAGCCGGGCTGAGAACCACAAGGATGGCGCTATAGCGCACTATCTCGAAGAAAAGTTCATGGAGTCCCAGACCCAGACTGTTCGTAGCTTGTCCGGCCACATAACCGACCTCAAGAATATGCTCAATGGCCGCGACGGTGCTGTCGCCGTTTACCTGTTTGATGAGTACTTGAAAAAGTCCATGTAAATTTTACTATTTCTTTTTTTTGTTACACATATATGCTAATGTATCTTTATATTTGATAGTATTAATTGATTGCTGGAGAAAATGAAAGTTTTATGGGGGAAATTGTTTTGTCAATAATTCTGTACAGTCAATATGAAAAGCCGTTTAAATATAACGTTTATTATTTTTTATTTAAAGAGTTTTAGGACGATTGATGCTTATCAGCGATACGTGATTTATTGCCTCTGATTGCAAGATTTGTTACTAACGTTGATTGGTAACATGTACTTGTGATAGGAGGTGCTTGGTCGAATAATTAAACAAGTCATTTTAAAAGTAGGTAAGGCTGAGAGTCTACTTACCCATTCATTTGTATCGATAATGCAGTCCGTTTCTAATCGCTTGTAGCTTAATTGTTTATGGCGCGGACAGGGATATATATGTAAAAAAAAGAATAAAATTTTGTAATAATGTACATAAGTATGACGATTCAATGATTAAGCTTTACATGATCACCAAAAAACATAAATTATGTATCGCGTAGCATCAGTTGTCACGGTTGCCTTTATATATTTCATAACAAATATTAATTTTGATCTTAAACTCTGTACTTTAAACAAATCGTGTTGAATAAAAACAGAATTCCAGGTTGATTGGTCGTTTTATTGAAATCCACCTACTAATACATTATAATTATAGAACCTAGTGCCAATTTGTGATCAATAAGTCTCTGACGTAGCCAAGGATGTAAATATAACTATACCAAAATCGATTAGCTAGCGTGACATAATTCATTGCATAACGATCCAGCAGTAGTCCATAAATCGATTCAAATCAAACAGGTAGTAATTTACCAGATTCCGACTACTATAAATCTTCATAGCATCTAATGCAAAGTTTGTTCGATTCTCGATGTGTATATTTTTATTTTGTGTTCCTATACTGATTTCGTTGGCACAAAAATGCAATATGCATGTGCTTGATAGACGCGCAGATTTATGCACTCATTTCGGAATAAGTAGTGCATGTCTCTAAAAAATGTTCATAATAATCCCGACCAAGTTGTCGATACTGTACGCATAGGAGTTGTAGATGAGTGGACTGTGGAGACAAAAATATGTATATGTTGAGGTTTAGACTTTAGCCATATAGATATGTAAAATGTACATTGTGGATCAGTGGGTGTGAACTGGTGCGCATATCGTAGTTTTCGTATAGTTTCCTTTTGCTCGGATATCCTCGATATCCTCATTCGCGATCGGTACGGCCAAGGCGTCGGTCGTGTGCAATTACTTATATTTTATTATACTTATTTAATCACAGCTGTAGACCAACGGAAGCGCACCAAACTCAAATTGGTTGTTTTATGTTCTTTCTTTACTTAATCCAAAGTATTGTATTTTTTTTTTCATTGTATAAACCAAGTAATTTTTATCTATCAAAGAATGAGCAATTGGTCGAGTTTCTACTCACGTCGTGTCACGTGTAAGCAGGTAAGTGATACACATTATTTAATATGACTGTTATGTTGACGGCAAAAAAGAGATGCAATATATAAATATATATTGATCGATGCGACCGCGAGTCAGGAGACTCAGGAGAGGAGTGTATACATACACTCGAGGCTTACGCGTTTTTGCGTAATATATATATACACCTACCTATCTCTTCGTCAGCTAAACAAAATAAAGCTTATGTACATACAAGCGCGTGTATACATTTGCAGGAAGGCAAAGGGCAAATCGATATTTTCATATTCTCTTTTCTCGAACGGGTTGAGCTCGTGCACTGGTTCTGATGGGCAGGGATGTTATATTGTCGCTTGTTAGTTTTTTTTTTTTTTTTTTTTTTTTGTCAAACTTGATCATATAATGGAGATGCAACATTCTTTTTATCTCTATATGGTTAAACTTTACATGGACGCAATACGTCAGCGCGTCTAATCGTACGTAGGGTATTATACGGTGAAAAATTGTTTTGTTAACACGAAATGGCAGTTTTTCATTTGACGATTGTTGTTGATGCCCACAAATATACACACCGTAGTATACAATGTGTACACGTGATTCCGTTGATTTAAGTAATGTTCTTCGCGATGTATTGCGTGTTTGTTTATTATTTGATATTTTATGATTAAATTAATCGCGCACTTTTACGAAGTGTATACAGATGGATACTTTGGGGGTTACAGATGTTGTGCCTCGTCTATTAAATTTGAAAAATATACGCAACGAAACGAATAAGAGTAACGGCTGTTGATTTTATCATATTTCATAACACATACATGCCACGTGTTCGTAAGTATGTGTTTTGTTTACCTTATTGTTTCTGAAATTCGAGATGTTAATTTCACTCGACGATGAACAAATTGTATATTATTATACGTTTCTTGGAATGTCTAACATTTAAAACGATGAGACGTGCTTAGGATTTTATTATTTATTATTTACAAGATTTCGAATGAAAGGAAAATCAGTTATGTTTGTAAAATATACAATATCATGAAAGTCAAAAATCGACCAGTAATTTGCATGGCGGTTTATGCAGTGTATTTTTTGTATTAGGATCTCTCATCTCACGTGTCACACACACTTTGCACGCTAGTAATATACATAGTCATTTTATTATTATAAGGAAATTATTTTTAGCCGACGTTCGAGGATACAAAAGATGCCCGACGAAAAAATTTATCGTATACTTAAATTTTCACATTCGTTATATTTTTTATGTTATATAGCTTTTCATTGTGAGATTTGACGTTTGCGTAAACTCGGGAGACGACTCGTGTATTCAAAGTTGCTCCAAGAATTTTTATCTCTTGTTATACCTTACTAATCTCAAAAAATATGCTGCAACATTACATGTATTACAATTATCGGTATACTACTTTCTGAGATGATTCAGACTTTTTTTTATTAAACTTGTCTACTTAGTTATGTAGACTAGTACAGAAAATTTTAAGGCATGTGTGTGTGTGTGTGTGTGTGCGTGTGTATGTGTGTGTATTGTAATGTAAAAGAAACTTTTTTTATTCTCAGAGTTTTAATAACCATTGTTTCGAATGCCATTGTACTTGCGTTCTCCAGTGTCCTTTTTCCTTCCCGTGTCAGACGAAAGAATCGTGTTTCACTGCTATAATATATTATGTACGGAAGCCCGGTCACTAGGTATACCTATCTAAATAAAAACGCAGAAGAGTAGTGCACAAAAACAAGTTACGAGTTATACGAGTGCACGAAAGCGCGCACACAACAAGTTGCAAAGCTGCAGACGGTTTCTATTTCATTTACTTAAAGTACAGCTTATACTAATTGTTTCATCGTTACGTGCTCAAGAGATTTGTTCAATACGTGCATATTAACTTTATACATATATTTACTTTGGATTTTATTATTCTGGTAAAGAAAGTACGGTGAAAGATATACGTGGAGTAATATGTAGTAATATAGTCATCACTACAAAGTGGTGCCGTATATAAAATTAAAAGTTGACGTAATCTGTGCTGTTGGCGTCAAGTTTACAATTTATCTTTTACCCAAAAATCAACCTCCCATATATTTATACTTTTGGAGCTCGATTTTTATGTAAAAGATAAATTGTAAACTTGCCGCCAACAGCACAGATAACGTCAACTTTTTATTTTGTATCTGTATAATTAGTTGCGGCTGGTTTGTAATTGATTAAATAACTCTACTGTAGATAGTAATAATTATTTGGATCAGCGCCATCTAGCGTTGGGGATTTCTGAACTAAAAAGTGGCCCTAAACTTTTGACCCACAGCATTAGCACTTAGAGCCATTTAGTCAATTATAAACCAGCCGCAACTCATCATGTAGCAATAAAATGAAAAAATAACAATACATGTGTTTTTGGCGGCAATTTAACAGTCTATTTTTTACCAAAAAATCGACGTCCTATGTATTTATACTTTTGAAGATAAATTTTTGAGTAAAAGATAGATTGTTAACTTGCCGCCAAAAACACATGTATCGTTATTTTTTCATTCTATAGCTTCATCATGAGTTGCGGCTGGTTTATAATTGATTAAATTGCTCTAATCGTGATTGCTCTGATTCAGAATTTTAGGAGCCACTTTTGGCCAAAAAATAAAGATCGCTAGATGGCGCTGATCCAAATAATTATTGATATTTACAGTAGTCACCTTATTAGTTATAAACCAGCCGCAACTAATTACATAGATATAAAATAAATAGTTGACATTTTATATGCTATTTGCGGCAAGTGTACAATCTATTTCTTACCCGAAAATCGACCTACAAAAGTATAAATATTCTATTTATATGGTTTAATAAAATCGACTATATGGCACTACTTAGTAGTGATTACTATAATTACTACACATAACTTTACTTATATGTTATGTTACACAGTGCTCTCTTTGACAGAATGATAAAATCAGAGGCTGTATTCCGCAAATGCTGCCAGCAGTTAAGTTACGTAGGTCGTTGTAACGCCGCATGTGTGTTGTATCCCATATAATAACAATAATAACAACGTTGATCGACAAAAGTGTAAAGAAGAGTATCAGAGTATTATATAAACTACTAACAAAAAATATAAACTCAAACATATATATATATGTGTGTAGATGCTGTACAAATCTCTCTCGCCTTTAAAAATAAAATCAAATAAGCATCTCTCGTCATCTCGACGTGCGAGAGAAAACATTGAGGGGTCGCCGGCGCCGCCGCCGCCGCGCGGGCTTATATGCCTTTGCCGCGCCCCGCATCATTCTATTCTTCACTCTTTAGTTGCTCGGACTTGCTTTTTTTCTCGTATCGCTCGATATCACGCAATACGCATCAACTGAGGAGTTATATTACTAATTTATAAGTACAAAAGAAATTTTACATAGTACTCAAAAGAAAGGATACATTCCGCGCTGTCATGAAGAGCACGTGGAGAGACAGGGACAGAGTGAGTGTGTATAGTATACATATTTACTGTGTAATAGTCACCTATGTGTGTGTGTGTGTGTGTGTGTAAAACACACGGGTTTTGTACTTGTTCATATATATGTATATATTCCTTAATCCCTTATTATTCGTTCTTTGCTTGCTTGTACCGCCGTTCGCATAACAATAATGCTTTATATACAAGTAGGTAATGTCGAGTTGAAAGTCACTTGCCCGCGGGCATCGGTCACTCCATACAAAATTGCCCTTCTTAGCGTGAAAAAAAAAGTGTTTTAAGTAGGAAAAAAAAAAAAAAAAAAAAAGAATGGAGTCGTTGGAACAAAACAACACAGCCGACAAATCGGTAGAAGATGAGACACGAGCCGAGGCCGCGAGTAAATTAGAGCACCGCGAAGAGGAGATAGTCAAGGTCGAGGTTTTCCTTTAGTTTTTCGGTTTCTAACAACAAACGTTTCGGAGTCGGGAAGATCATAAATGAAAAAAGAAGCTTTTAATCAACACTTTGTTTTCCTTCGTTTGTGCGTCATGTGTTAGAAGGTTCGAGTTTAAAAGAGATCAGGATTGCGCGACGATCACGCATAATAGGTCTACATCAGTGTATGTTTCTGACTTGACTCACAGCTGCACGATGTTGTTTTCGTTGCGATCGATGAGTGTATTTTTTTTTTTGTTCGGCTTGAAAAATATAATCTGCGCCCCACACATTATATAATTGGTATTTTTTCAAATTAGGTGGGTGGGAGTATAACAATAGACAATAAAATTCAATTAACGCGACAATTGGTGTCAATTAGGAGCCAGTTGTCCGATTGTAGAGCAAAAAATACTGCTTTGTTTCTACGAGAACAAAGTGTTGATTTTACGTCACTGCATACACAACAAAAAACTATCGTAATCAAATGATGATGATTCATCTTCACTATTTTGCATAAATCAACAACAAGTAGAATTTCAATACATCGATCTATTTTTATTTTATTCTGCGAAATTAGGACTTTCAGAAGCCGCTGGCCGGCGGAGAGACAACCGTCCATCAGCTAGTTACTGCCCTTCACAGCACCAAAACGGGTCACAAGCCGCTACCCGGCTATGACCCCAACGTCGACAGTCGCGAGTATTACAGGGCTCAGCAGAACATAGACTGCAACGAGGTCTACCCGCGTATTTTCATTGGAGATGGGTGAGTGTATTTATTATACGTTATATCGGGAACTATCTTTTCAATTCGCGTTTGTCTATGTTCATTTCTAACTCTCTTCTTTCATTACAGTATAACTGCCAAAAACAAAGCGTATCTCCAGAGGATAGGCATAACTCACGTGGTGAATGCGGCTGAGGGTCGTAAGTTCGGTCTCGTCAACACCGACGGTAATTTCTACAAGGACACGCTCATCAGGTACATCGGCTTCAACATGCTTGACCTACCAAGCACCGACATAAGTCAATTCTTCTATTCTGCCGCTGGTTTCATCAAAAGGGCACACGACAGTGGTGGTGAGTATCAATTGAACCATATTTTACTTAATTGAGACTTTAATGATTTTTCATTACAGGTCGAATCTACGTGCACTGCGTTCAAGGGGTCTCGCGAAGCGCGACCCTCGTTATTGCGTATCTGATGATCGAGAAGGGCATGTTGGCGATGGATGCCATTCGTACCGTTAGACTCAGTCGGGATATTCACCCAAACGAGGGTTTTCTGCGTCAGTTGGCTCTGCTCGACAACCAATTGCGTAGACAACGATTGAGATAAAACAACGAATTAATCACTGTTAACGGGTAATTAAAATATAGGAGCTTTCTGTGAGCTGTTGTTAATGTGATGAGACGCTTAACCAAAGTATCATTAATGTTTTCGAAGTGGGGTAGTCTTAAATTGTTGGTTCACAGAAAGGTACAAAACTCTATTTATATATACAATATACAATGTTGTAGAGTGAAAAATAGCCATTAATTAATGCGTCGTGTTACGGCTACATTTATTCTTCAAATGCATATTATATATTTTATTTATCTCAAGTATTAAATTTACTCCATTTTCTTAAAACGAAAAATTGTTACAATAAAAGACTTACTATGAAACTATTAAGCATATTTCAAGAAAATTTTTATAACCGACAAAGTGCTAAAACTTTATGAAATTATTCATCTTTTTCTTACTTGAAAAAAAAAAAAATTGTTTCCAATTTTAGATACAAATTTTGTTTTTTTTTACGTTAGGTCGATAAACAGCCGGAAGAGGTAATTAATATTTTAAATATTTTGATGAATTCACGGAAACTTTATGCTTTCAATGTCACATACTAGCGTTTGTCTTTTTAGTTACTTAAAAAGTTAGTTCTTGTTGACATTTCGCTGTACTTACACTATAATAGATATTACGATACTTTGTACTATTTAAAGCGAGAATACTTATTTAAATTTTATTTGTAATGCTTCATATTAATTATCAAATGCCATTATACTATTTTTAAAACTGGGTTTTGAGCCCATGCACCATGTTGGTAAAAAAATATTTTTATTTTGTGAAAAATGTACAAAAATAAATAATTTGATACACTAAACACATCCACGCAGTAGTTATTGTCGTTACTTTTTGATTGTTATACTACTAGAAAATATACTAAATGAGGGCTATCTTTACTTTGATGTAAAAGAAAAGATGTGTGACTTTTACTTTCAACAAGTATAATTTATTAATATAAACAGCTGTAGAGGGTGAAAAAAAGCAAACAGAGAACAACAGATTGATGGAAAAATCCGTTTTATTTTTAAACCTGCGAATCATTTATACCTAAAGTTTACTTCTTAGATTTCTTGTCCATCGCAACTTTAGTCACATCATCGGGATTCTCTGAGGCGTCCTTCGCACGCTTTTTCCTGATTCCGTCGAGCCTGGCATCGGCTCTCGCTTTACGGAGAACTGTAAAAGCGTTGAATTTCATCTCATCTTCTGTGATAACGCGAGCCTTGGGCTTGCTGGTAGAGTGGTGCACAGGCATGACGTCGCCTCTGAATTGCTTGGCTACTTTGCATTCTTCAAGGGTAGATTCTCCCTTCTTGATCTGTAATCATGCAAACCGAGCATATTTATGATTAATGTACACAACCTGTTTTTCTTTTGTTGGTATGTATTGATCTTACAACTGGAAATGTGATTTAAAAATCATGTCATCTCAATAACAACAATAGAGTTTGAATATCATGTTTCGTAACTAGATTATTAAGTTTATGAAATTAACTGATTAACATTTTGATTTAATGCCGTTAGGCATCACTTATTATAGTATAATTTTTAACTTTCAATATTTTTTCAAAAATTAACAAAAAAAAGAATAATCTTCAATTTAATGAAAAGTTTGTAGTTACTATATTTTGCTTCAATGATTATCAAATAGATGAAACGAGAATTTATTTGGGAAGAAAAAAAAAGTATATCTTTAGACCCCTCAATGGCCTTGAAAACGCGTCCAGCTTATAGTTTGACAGATTGTTGTATTTTAAATGTTAGTAAAATAATGGTAATCTACCAAGCAGAATCACAAACTGCAGTCTGGTCCGGTATAATTTGGAACAGACACTCAATAGATCTAGGAAAACTAACGTCTCTGAGTAATAGGCAATAGATAAACATTAAAAACCTACCTTCTTCTGGTTCAATGGGAAGAGGATCAACTTGGCTCTGTACTCCTTGAGCCTTTGGGCATTTTGCTGAAGGGATTCAATAGACTTATTGCGCCTCCTTGGGTCCACTGCAATACCAATAGTCCTGGCAAACTTCTTGTTAAGACCAGCAGCTTTGACTTCAGCAAGGGTGAAGCCTCTACCAGGGCGAGTTTTGGTGTGGTAGCGGAATGTGGGGCAGTGTACAACTGGCCTCAGGGCATGTACCGGCCTAGATTAAAAAAAGTAGGGTTTAGGTTGAATTTTCTTCACATGTTGGGGAAAAATTTCCCTCAGCAGAAAAACAGACGTACCTGGGTGCTACGGAGCGGGCTTTCTTGACGCGGTTTGTTCTCCTGCGGATCTTTCGTGCCGGCTGGTTGAACCACGTCTTGACGAAGCGCTGCCAGTCCTTGTGGAAGTGCCCATTAGGGATCATGTTGTTCCGCTTGCCCATCTTGAAGCTGTCAGCAGAGAGAAGAAAGAAAAAAATTCAAAACTTAGGTGGGTAAACAACACTGCCGGACAGAGGTTAAGTTGGTGAACTGCTGTTATTGTTGATCCCGTGCACTTTAGGAGAAAACTTTCAATTTTTTCGATGATCAAACACGTTTATTGATCAACAAACAATTAAGGTACACATCCAAATATTCAATAACTGTTATTGTTGTTACAGATGAGCACTGTCGTAACCTAAAAACACGTCACTCGAGCGAAAGTTGACCAAAAGGTTCTTTGTTTCCGGAGCATCCCCGAGAATACCGTTCAGGATGGATACCGGGACGACTGCGGGGGATGATCAGCACGTCGATTTGCGCGAAAACTCTACGATCGGACCGATTTTTACAGATCCAGCGACCTCGAATTTGCTTACCTGTTCGCTTTTAGCTTTCCTGCGGAGAAAAAGAGAGACTCGTCGGGCACGACAAGTCCTAGGATTCTCGCGTGTGTACGTGAATGGACCCTGCTACTACGTTAAGCGTTTCCGGTTTTGGCGCTGAAAATTCAAATTTTAGCTCGTTCACTCGTTGCTGGTTTTTTGCTCAGACGAATGATTTGACCTTAAGAAATTGAGAGTTAGGGATAAATATTGCTTATTTTTTTGTATTTTCACTATTTATTTATTTACTTCAGTGAACTCATATAACTTTTGCTTGTTTATCATTTTCTTTTTCTCTCTTTTGACTATAGTAGTTGTAGCCCTCTGTGGTCCCTCTCCCCCTACGGGTCGTGAGAAAAAATATCGTCTGCTAGCTCAATCACGTCTGAAAAAAACATCAAATATTGTCTATTCAAAAATGTGTTCCTTGTAAAGTTAGTGACTTAATAGTCAAATCTCAAAATGAAGTACACTTTGTTGCTGAATTGCAAGTGGCCCTTGGTGAACAAAAATCTTCCAAAATGTGTTTTAACGAGACAAGCGTCGACCGGGCTCAATCTTTGGGTAAGGTTACTTGGGAATTAACTATTGTATTTTTGAATAAATTCACATTCCACGAACGATAAATTGACTTGTCTTGTTAAAATTTTGTTAGAACGAAGAACTCACGACCGAGTACAAGCATCAGATCGAAAACTATTGGAAAGATAAAATCCATAAAGGCAGTAACGATAATTTGCAAGAAAATAAAGAGAAGTTTTATGTTCTGTCAATGTTTCCGTATCCCTCGGGATCTCTTCATATGGGACATGTCAGGGTTTATGCCATCAGTGATTCAGTTGCCAGGTTTTATAGGATGAAAGGTTGAACGAAATTGTTTTACTTTGAATGAAATAAAAGACCTTGGTGTGTAATCATCATTCCCAAATAGGTAAAAATGTTATTCATCCGATGGGATGGGATGCGTTTGGACTGCCTGCTGAGAATGCTGCGAAAGAGAGGCAAGTAAACCCAGCTGAATGGACGAAACAAAATATTCAGAATATGAGAGAGCAGTTATTAAAACTGGGCTGCACCTTTGACACTAATCGTGAATTTGCCACCTGTGATCCAGAGTATTACAGGTGGACCCAGGAATTGTTTTTGAAACTTTATGACAATGGTTTGCTCTATCAGAAAGAAACTTTTGTTAACTGGGATCCTGTGGATCAAACTGTACTTGCGGACGAGCAAGTAGATGAAAACAACAGATCATGGAGGTCTGGGGCCATTGTGGAAAAGAGATTACTCAGACAGTGGTTTGTCAAAACTACCGTGTTTGCACAGTAAGTGTTAAATGTTTTAATGATTGAAAAAAGTACGATTTCGAGAATCAAACATCTTTTTTTTTTTCTAACAGGTCGCTACTAGATGGTTTGAAAGACAAAACGTTAAAGGAATGGAGAGATATCATTAAACTCCAAGAACATTGGATAGGTGAATGTACAGGAACAAACTTCGATTTCAAGGTGGTCTCAAAAATTCCAGGGTATCCAAAATCTATAACTTTGTGGACTGATAGGCCTGCATTCATCGAATATGCTAGTTTTTTTGCTGTATCTTCAAACAATCTTTTTTCAAAAATTGAGAAAAGTGAATCTCGCAGTCCTGTCAGGCTATTAAATGCCAAAGTTATTAATCCCTTCACAAACAAAGAGCTTCCAGTATTTGTTACTGAAAAAGGTAATTTTGACTTTTTTTCCGCACATTAAAATTTAATTGAAAATATGAAAAAAACTTACACAATTTTACAGAGTCCCTGCCGTATCCGGAATTCAGGGAAGATTATTTGGGAATTCCGTGCTCATCCGAAGCTGATGTTGGATTTTGCAAATCAGTCGGTATCAAATACGAAATAGCTCCAGTCTGCTCGGCTCAAGAACTGAAAGAAAAACGCGCGTCTGTTCTCCAACTAGCCAGAGAACGTAATATCGGTGGTCACATGGTAAGTTCAAAATTACGGGATTGGCTAATATCGAGGCAAAGATACTGGGGCACGCCAATACCGATAATCCACTGCGAGAAATGTGGCGCTCAACCAGTGCCCAGAAGTCAGCTACCAGTCGTTCTTCCAAAGTTGGATCAGTCATTGGAAAAACAGAATTCGACGCTAAGCAACGCTAAAGTTTGGCTGAATACGTCGTGTCCCAAGTGTGATGGACCAGCTAAAAGGGAGACGGATACTATGGACACTTTTGTCGACAGCTCGTGGTACTTTATGAGATACATAGACCCCAAGAACGACAAGGAAATGTTTTCCAAAGACAAGGCTTTTCGCGATATGCCCGTGGATCTGTACATTGGTGGAAAAGAACACGGTACAAAGTAATTTTTTTACCCTTTCCAGTAATGATTGAGAATAACATTTTTTTATTTCTATGGATTGCAAAATGCGAAATTTCAGCTGTACTTCATTTGTACTATGCAAGATTTGTCAATCACTTTCTTTACCAATTGGGACTGGTGCCTACGAGAGAACCATTTAAGCAATTGTTAGTGCAAGGAATGGTCATGGGTCAATCTTTTTCTACCAAAGAAGGCAGATACCTAAAACCACACGAGATCGAAGCTACGGAAAACGGATATGTCGAGAAGGACACGAATCAGCGGGTCATCGCTGCCTGGGAAAAAATGTCCAAGTCCAAATACAACGGTGTCGATCCTTCGAAAATGTTTGACGAGCACAGCATAGATACAATCAGACTGTTGATGTTGGCCGACGTTGCGCCGAGGTCTCACAGAAACTGGTCCAAAGAAAGTAAGTCCAACTTAAGAGACCGATTTGGAATTTCCATCTAAATTTTTCCAAATTGTCCTTGCAGCGTTTCCAGGTATCCTGAATTGGCAACACCGTCTCTGGCAGACCGTATCAGAGTTCATCAAAGCTCGCAAGAATCTTACACCAGCCGATCTGTCCCCTCTGCTGTTCAGTGATCAAACATTCTTAAAAGAAGACGCCAGTATGTTCGACAGCAGAAACTATCACCTGCACGGTGTGACGTTCAATTTGACGGTCTCGCAGCAGCTTAGCGTTGCCATTTCCAAGATGCAAAGTTTGACTAACAAAATCCGCAAATCGTCGAAACTGTGCGTTGCTCGAAGTCGTGAGTACGAACGAGCCCTCGCTGTGCAGATTATCATGCTGGCACCGATTGCTCCACATTTTGCATCAGAACTCTGGGCTGGATTCTGTTCTGCGCCCAATAGAATCGTCGAGGATGGAGAAATCGATTGGGATAAAGATGTACTTGAACAGAGGTGGCCTGAAGTTGATATGGAGTATGAACTCAAGGTTGACGTGACGGTAAGTTTTGTAATGAAATATTTTTAAATCGGCGGTACTGTTAGTTGTAAATAAAGCGACTTATTGTACTTGATTATATTTATGTAATTGGAAAAAAAAAAAATTTTCAGGTAAATGACAAGAAATTTGTAATACTACGAATACCGCGTCGACAGTTAGATACCATGAGCCAAGAGGAAGTGTTAGAATTGGCAGTTAAGGAGCAAAAATTTCAAAAGCATCTACAAAAGCATAAGATCATCAGAGTTTATTACAAATCAAAGTCTAGCTCTGGAGCACAAATGTCAATTAAGACAAAGGAGAGCATCGACAAAAAAGTTTTGCAAAAGGAAGGAGCGTAAATATAGTCAAGTATGCTTAACATTTGTAAATATGTAAATAAATTTCGTTTTTTAAAGTAATTATGCATTGATGAGCGATTTGTATTTTGCAAAATATGATTCTTGAGGTAACATCGTGATATAAAAATCGAATGAACTTTTTCAAAAATTTTCTTATCATCATCCTTACTATCAGTAAAAAAAGCGTCAGTGCCAAATGAGCACATTGAACCATCACTAATCTCAAGAACTGTTTGATACCTTATCTCACAAGTATTTCTTAGTATTTGGTTGGGAAAAAAATTGAATCATTGTTTTATGAAATTAAAAATTTTTATTCATCCTTTTTGATTTACTGCAACTGGAATTAAGTAGTCAACTGTTAGAATTATTAATTTTAAAACTTTAACCAAAGTCAATATTCATTAGCCCAAGGCTTTCAATTTTTTTTTTCATCGAATACCGACAACCTCTACTTCACCATTGTATCCATTATGAAGAAAAGTTTCAAGGAATTTTATGTAATCGTTTGGAATGTTAAACTCTTTGGCACCTTTGATCATTGTATTTCTAAAATACAAGATAGTTAAGATTGAAAAAATATTTTTAGGTAAAAGAAAAGTATGTCTCAATAAGAGTTTTCTTACAAATAAATCAAAGAAGGTTGCCTATTAGGGGGCAAAAGGCTCGGCTCGACATATTTATCTGGTAACTGGCACTGCTGATAAACTCTGCATTCCAAGCTTTTTCCTCCTGTAGTGTCGATCTTTACAATTTTGGGACAGTAAACGTTGCTGCTCACTCCCTCTTGATTATCCAAATCAGGCAAATTGCTCATGTTGATTTCCCAAACTACACCCCAAACTTCAGAACCCTGTTGGGGAACAATCGTTGCTGCCGCACCGTGCCATCTTTTAGCAAACATGTTAAAATCCAGCCTGTAGTCCTGATGATAGTGCAAAATTTCAACGTCAAATAAAATACCAAGTGTTTGCACAAAAATGGTAAAATTTACCTTGAGTTTACCTATGTATCTTTGCACGGCTGTTGGATTGTTGATGTGAATTCTTTTTGTTAGCATGTTGCTACCATAGGCAAAGTATAGGAATGACATGTTGTCTGTTCAAATCTGTTGTATGAAAAAAGTAGAGCAAAGTTTAGACAGATTATTCCTAGTATTTTTTTGTATTATTAAAACTGGTTTGTTCTGAGATTTTTGAAGGTTTTATTTGATTAATTTTCAATATTGACAGAGCAGAGATTATGATTTTTTAATTGAAAATTTTAGTAGATAAATAATACCGATACATCGATAATATTACCAAAGAAAATGAGAAATGTTCAAATATTAACTAATGTCAAGAGATTTTTAACAACACAACAAATTACACGTCACAAACACGTGAATGTGGAGTATGCATAGGGCAGATGGTACATACGTAAGTACGGCGTGAATGACATTTGGTTTTGTGTATTCCGCAAATGCTGACAGCAGTTAAGTTACGTAGAACGTAGGTCGTTTTGTAACGCCGCATGGTCGGGCAGCGCTAGTGTCAATTAGTACTTACTATAACTGTCGGTGGGTTCCGCATGTCAACAAACTTCGATATTTTTTGCTGTTTTTACTCCCATGCCACCCAACAGGTATTTCGGACTCCGAAATTCGGAGTTTGTTGGCGTGCGGAACCCATCGAACCCATAACACTGTCACCGAAAGTATACAGGTTGACGCTAGTGCCGCCTGACCTTGCGGCGTTACAACGTCACAACGACCAACGTATCACCATTTGCGGAATACAGCGTCTGAAGGTCTGATTTTATCATTCTGTCAAAGAGAGCACTGTGTAACATAACATAAGTATACGTGAAGATATGCGTATAGTAATTATAGTAATCACTACTAAGTAGTGCCATATAGTCGATTTTATTAAACCATGTAAGTAGAATATTTATGCTTTTAGAGATCAATTTTTAGGGTAAAAGATAGATTGTAAACTCGCCGCAAATAGCATATAAAATGTCAACTATTTATTTTATATCTATATAATTAGTTGAGGCTGGTTTATAATTAATAAAGTGACTTTACTGTAAATAGCAATAATTATTTGGATCAGCGCCATCTAGCGGTCTTTATTTTTTGGCCAAAAGTGGCTCCTAAAATTCGAATAATAGAGCTATTTAATCAGTTATAAACCAGCCGCAACTCATCTTGTAGCTACAAAATGAAAAAATAACGGTACATGTGTTTTTTGCGGCAAGTTAACAATCTATTTTCTACCAAAAAATTGACCTCCTATGTGTTTATACTTTTGAAGATAAATTTTCGAGCATAAGATAGACTGTTAGCCTGCCGCCAAAAACACACGTATTGTTATTTTTTTATTTTATAGCTTCGTCATGAGTTGCGGCTGGTTTATAACTAATTAAATAGCTCTAATCGTGAATGCTCTGATTTAGAATTTTAGGAGCCACTTTTGGCCAAAAAATAAAGACCGCTAGATGGCGCTGATCCAAATAATTATTGCTATTTACAGTAAAGTCACCTTATTAGCTATAAACCAGCCGCAACAAATTTTGTAGATGGATAATAAAAAGTAAACATTTTTTGTGCTACTTGCGGCAAGTTTACAATTTATCTTTTACCTAACGCCGCTAATATATTTAATTCGTAAAATCTGATGAAAGTTTGTCTTATGTGGATAATGTNCTGATTTAGAATTTTAGGAGCCACTTTTGGCCAAAAAATAAAGACCGCTAGATGGCGCTGATCCAAATAATTATTGCTATTTACAGTAAAGTCACTTTATTAATTATAAACCAGCCTCAACTAATTATATAGATATAAAATAAATAGTTGACATTTTATATGCTATTTGCGGCGAGTTTACAATCTATCTTTTACCCTAAAAATTGATCTCTAAAAGCATAAATATTCTACTTACATGGTTTAATAAAATCGACTATATGGCACTACTTAGTAGTGATTACTATACTACTATACGCATATCTTCACGTATACTTATGTTATGTTACACAGTGCTCTCTTTGACAGAATGATAAAATCAGAGGCTGTATTCCGCAAATGCTGCCGCAGCTGTTAAGTTACGTAGGTCGTTGTACAGCGTTGGCCACGATGGTCAAAAGTTTGCTGCCTAGTTTTACGAGCAATTATGGTACTTAGGTCGTGTGTGGTAACGCCGAACGTTCAAAATTTCCGTGATATGACATGCGAGTGTGACTTAATTTTTACCGAAATTTCGGAGTCATAAGTCATAACTCATTAACTCAATTTACAAATTTTTCAAATAAAAAAATGTGGGTCAGTGCCATCTAGCGATAGTAATTTTTGCGGAATTGCGGCTTTTTGCGAAAAATACAACTTACATTTTTGATTGTTTAATTTTTTTCATTTGTAAACAAGCGTGTATGGGTTCAAATATATGGATATACAGTGTTTTTGTGTGTCAAATATCATTAATATAATGGGGGTCGCCAAATCATATCAAATAAAATTTTCATGTATTAGTTTGATCGTTGGCATACTTAAAACTTTCGATTAGTCAATTAATTACATAATTTAGTGGTTACAGACAATTTTGTAAAAATTATTCAACTTAAGTCACCAGTTTAATAATAACTGGAGCAACTTTACTTCATTCCGATATTGTCAAAAGTGTTTTACTCTCGCTGTGATGGGTATGCGCCAATTGAGTATTGTTACATAACGTAAAATGATAAGGAAAATGTAAGAGTGATAAATAAATGATGTGTTTCGGAATTGTGGATACAATGAAGAAAAAAACAGACGAAATATGTTATAAATTTGTTTTTTTTACACATTGGTAGATATCATTTCATTTGGCAACATTTCAAATGACAATAGTTTTACACTTAAAAAACAATCACACTTTTTTACAGTTACTTTTCTTACGTATGTATACATATGCACACATATATGCATGTATGGCATATTATTTCGTGTATAAAAACAGCAACGTCACAGCAGAAAATCATCTTAAAATTAATCGATATAGATAGTATTGTACGGTTTATTTATTTACAAATATATTACCTGATTTAAGACTCTTTGTTCTTTATGTACGTTAATTTCATTGATAAATTTTTCCAAAGTAATTAATTTGTAGAAAACCTTTTTTTCATACATTTATACATGCCAAGCGCTTTTACACGCGAGTATTGCTTATTGCAATGTCCACTTGTTTTGTAAATTCACAATCACATAAAATATATCGTTTAGAAGATTAAAATTTTCTTTGAAAAAAATTATAAATTACAGTCTGTTGGTTAAATTACTGTTGGAAACGAATATGTTACAATGTGGAGATTATAGCAAAAATATTTTCCATCTCCTCCATGCATAAATAATAAATATGGCTGCCAAATAAATACAAATCAATACACTATAACTTCAAAGCGTTTGCATAATTGCACTAAAACACAAAAAAAAATCGTTTCATCACTATACTTTTCCAAGTCCTCACAACTTGTCGGTGCCCATCGCCAATCCATAAAAATTTGGTACTTTTGGTTTAAAAGGAATGTCTCTCAGTTCGTTAAAAATAAAATAAAACACCGAGGCATGTGAAATCATTAGTAAAATCGCTTTCTGCTTTGTTCTTGGTGCTTCTGGTACAACATGATACCAATCACAACGCAGGCAATAAGAGCTAAAGCACCAATAAGCATCAGGAAGAATATTTTTATTCCTCCAAGTGACGACGGCTTTGGATCTTCAACATGATCTAAAATTCAAGGATAGTTATAAACATTTATTTATTAATTATGATAAATAAAATTGAAAAACAATATTACCTCTTGGAGACTCAAAATAGGCGGCTGATGGTACAATTTGTGATCTGTCTTCTTCCTTTGTCTGAAAAGGAAAAGTAATGAATTGATGAATCGTTTAAAAACTGACCCAGATTTGTTCATTTTTAAGAAAATAATAACCAACTCACATCGTCAGGGGAATCCAATTGGTACAGTTTTAATGAAACAACTGCATGATTATCGGATAAGTCCCCTGTTGTAGCAGTAACGCCAAAATAGTAACCAGTTGGCAACTGGATTTCTTTCACAGTAAAGCACTCTTTCCAAGCACCTTTGTTTGAAAAGTCAGTGGATACTGAAAAAATAGTCGTAGCAAAATTAAAATACTATCAAAGCATTAAAAACTGTTAAATATGATCTAACTACTTTAAATATGTATGCACCTGTCAAAGTATCCTTTTCATATCTTAAAGAAATATATGTGTCATGTTCGAGATTTCTAAATTTAGCCTCACAGCCTGCAAGTTGAGTATGAGTACCATCTCTGTCGTGATCGTAATGAAGAGTACCATTGTTCACCATGGCCGAAATATATGGGTGCTGATGCTGTTGAAAAATGACAGTCTTAAAAAATTTGTTACTAATATTTATGTATTTAAACTGTCATATAAACGTACGTTGTGCTCCCCATTGTGATTACTGTAGGTGTCAAGTATCACTACTAAACCATTAAAGTAATCTTTGCTTCCAAAGACTGGTCCAGGCTGATTTGGATCTTTAGCATACCAAATTGCCAAGCCATCTCCAAATAAGTCCTTACCTTTGCCATAAACTTTAAAAGAAACTTGTAATTCCCAGTTTCTTACGTGGCAAGGCTGAAAAAAATTTTTTTTTAATTAGTATTATATCTTTTTGTCAGATACACTTTGCGCAACACTACGAGATTTTATACTGTATTGACCCATAAAATATAAGTAATTGATGGTTTTCTACATGTATTAAATCTAACAGAAGTATTTTGAATCATCAAGCAAACAAACGTAGCACGTCATTTACTCAAGTGATGAGCACCTTGGGCAAAAATTTCACTTCTTCAGCCAAAAACTTTGAAGATCTAAACTACTATAAAAACACCAACACGTCTTTACTTCCATCGTTAATGTAACTCAATTTTTATATTGAGATCAACATATTTATCACAAACTTTGTCCCATCAGCAAAACATAAGCATTTAATTGATATCCATGAAAATAACAAGGAGAAAAATACATACCACAGTGTTCCAAATAGTGCCCCGTTGACTTTGAGCATCAGCAGTCAGTCTCACAAAGTTGTTTGTCACCAAAGTGTTCCCTTGGAAGTTCCAGTAGGGTATTGTCATACCAGAACCTACAGAATCAAAGAGAGTTCAATAAAGTTTACTGAAAAATTATTTAAGCGACCGCGCAACCCAGGCTTCTACAAGATTCCAATCAAAACGGAGTCAAGCTGCGAATTTTGGAATAACATGTGAGCAGGTACGCTGTATTTGCCATTGAAGATTTTATTGAAAAGAGGAAGAAAAAAAAATGATGACGCGTCAAGGTTGTTATCTCTTTGCCGATGCTAACAACGTACACATCAGTTCTCTCTCTCTCTCTTTCTCTTTCGTCTCGTTGGCCTAACCTTCTGCAACTCTCATCGCGCACATTTTCATCGCAATGTTTATAACGCAATCGGAGTCGAAAACACGTTACATTTATCCCCAATTAAACTGCGTATGATAAGAAAAAAAAAAAGAGAGAAAGAGAGAGAGGAAAAAAAAGAGTATACCCTCACCATGATACGGTTTGATGAGCGAATGTTCTCGTTTGATGTAGTCGTTCATGTTACGCTCGGCGCCGACGATGCCGATCAGGAGGCCACCGAGGACCAGCACCAGCCAGCACTCACCGAGAATACCACCACTAGTCGTCCTTTGCATTGTTTATTTTGTTTTGGGCTTTGATTTTACGTTTGACTGTCCCTCACGACACAAAAATTGATGAACACCGGGGAGGGCTAAGCAGCAGACGACGACTCCGCTCGGCTCGGCACTCTCGGCAGCTTTCGCTTGATATGCTCGCGCACGGAGGTCCGGACTCCAACTGACAGTCTGCACACTGACACTGTCTCGAGACAATTAATTATTATAATTATTTCACAAGCGAGAACTACAGCGCCTCCCTTTGCTGCTAAATCATCGAAATAATGTATACTTATGAACAATATTTTCATGTAAATGCGAAAATTTGAGAAATTTGATTAATCACCGTCGTACAATACCTCTGCTTCGGCCTTAGGGAATTAATTGTTTACGTATTACTCGCATGGTATGAGTTACAAGTATATGTAGGTATAAGTACTTGTCTGAATGACTGAACCGCTTATAGTTTTGAGGCACGTAAGCGTATTTTTCAATTTTATTTATTGGTTTTTAATTACCGAGTCACCCGCGTCACCAAATCCACGAGTTCGACAAAGACAATGTTTGGTTATCTGTGCATGAACACACGTTAACCACTATTTCTTTTAACAATCAATTTAACAATGACTTTAAAAAAAAAAAAAAAAAAAAAAAAAAAAAAAAAAAAAAAAAAATAATGCTCAAACATCGTTAAATTAAGGACATATTTTTTACCCGAAAAAAATTTATAGTGAAAAAACATTGTATACTTTTTATTACGATACCTTACAACAATATTATTCAACAGTTACCGATTTCATGTCATTTAGATAAGTATATGACTTGAAACCTTTAGGGGGATTTATAAAAAAAACTCAGCTTCAAAAATTAATTACGTTGGTACGCACTTATATGTTACTGTTATGTTTTAAATATTATTCTTTTGTAATGTTTACAACTTTTACCGTACCTAGTTTGTATACGATTTAAATATTTTTCAATGTACAAACGCAGTTTTTACAAGATTTTACTTACGTGAATAAATACATTTATTGATATATCTTACGATAACAATTTTCAATTTATTATTCATATTATGATAATGATTCAATCATTTTTTTAAACTTTTTTTTTGTTATGTAACATTTTTTTCCAATAATAGATACATGGGTATCTCTTTTACCAGTGGCTCGAGTGGTCATTGATATTGAACTATTAATGTATAAAAACTTGAGAAACAAATAATAATAAATAAATTTAAAAAATAAGGCCAATCAATTGTTAAAAAACTCCATTACTTTTGATACTTTTTTCGTGTAAGAATTAAATGAACGTAGGTGGATTCATATTTTTTCAACTACACAAGAACTGCAAAAGAATTTAATGAACAAAATTATTTGAATCTTCGACAAAATTTGGTTTATGTAATAAAAAATATCTTCTGAAAATGTAATCTATATATTATGCAGTCGATACGTTATTTATGTTGTAAGAGTTGAAAAAAAAAAAAAAAAAAA